AGGTCACAACTTGTTAAAATAATAGATCGCGTAATATTTTTCGGTCACAAGTCATAAATTATTTTAGTGGTCACAAATTATTTTTTAGTTACAAATTATCGAATTTTAAGGTCACAGTTTAACAATATGTCAAAAATTTTATTGGTCACAACTCGATCAGGTGAGTCACAGTCACAATTTTAATTGGTCACACTCGATTACATGCATAAAATAATTACAGTCACCTCCAACCCCATATCGCCTACACACCCGACACCCACCAGCACATTGCACAGATCTACCACCACAACCATCTTCTCTATCTCCATTTACACCATACCCAACCACCACCTTAATACATATCCATCGCCACGACCACATTGCACTACCACCGCACACCACCACCAAGCCCACACCGCACAAATTCACCACCACCACATACCACCATCGTTATGCCCACACTACACAGAACCACCAACACCACATACCGCAGCGCATCGCACTGTACCACCCCCAACACAACCACCACCATCTTCTCTATCTCGGATGCAATCAACTCGATGTCGCGACACTGGCAGCGTTTCTCCTTCTCGATGAGATCGTGGATCTCAAGATCTACGGCAGCGAGAGAGGTTGATACTGGATTCATGAAGATCGTCACGGTGCTTCGCAGATCACCACGGAATCTCCGACGTATTCTTGTCTGGTTGTGACGGTGTGTCAGAGAAGAGAGAGAGTGGGATCGAGAGAGAAGTGATGAGAGAAAAGAGAGATACGATTGATTATAGAGAGAGAAGAGAGTAAATGGAAAAATGAAATAATTAGGGTTTTGGTGTGTATTGTTGGGTAATTATTATATTATGTATCTAATTAAAAAATATCTGATTTTTGAAAATTAAAATTTCAGCTGATTTTAGAATATAGATCTTGAAAAGTAGGGAATTGTGTAATTTCCACAAGGGTAAATTAGGTCCATTACTGTCCAAGACTAGGAAAATTGAAAAATAGAATGCATTATCCATGGAGAGTAGAAAATACATTCCTTTTCTAAAACCCCCTTAATCGCCCTTTTCAAATTTCCACATATGGCTTTTTGCGGATACAAACCTCCCGTACTTAAATATTAAAGAACAACTTTCACATATTAAATCCTCAATCAACCGCGAACAGCTAAAATCACCACGTTTTTATTTTCGACTTTGCATAAGTCAAGTTTGGATTTCAAAGAGAAATTTATTTCATTTCTGTTGTGAAATATATAAAAAAATCTGGAAAAAAAAAAACTAATGAACTCCAAGACACGAAAATCGTTATCTTTTAAGAGATGTTTCTCCCCTTTTCAACAAAGACACGACCAGTGTATGATAGAAAATCTCTCTCAAGATACAATGGAGGCGTTTGATTCAAACTATGACTATTTGATCAAATCAAGAAAATACTCTATAATGAAACTGACGAAACTAAAAGAAAAGAGAGAATAATAGAAAATAATGAATTTTTTTTTAATGTATCTTGCAAATGAGAATTCGCCCAAAATATATAGAAGTGGAGTCAACCTTTTGAATATGTGTGTTCCTTGAAATGAATGGACGCATCTATTGGAAGAAACATATCTATTCAAAATCTTCTGAAAATAAAATTCTCTTTCAGGGGCGCTGACCCCTCGACCCCCGCGACTTGACCGGGCAGGTCGATCCCCGTTGCGTAGCGGCAAACACTAGTCGGGACGGCAAAACATTCGCAAAATAAAACATGAACACGCAAAAGATGAAAAATATCTAACAATTTTTATACCTAAATTTCCTCATATTCTTTTTTGATCCGAAATTTCCTCACATTCTTATATGTAAAAGATCTAGCGTCTTAAATTCTAATACATACCGGCTTAACAAATATAATTCACTCTGAATAAAGTCATAAACAATGAAATATCATCTCACGGTTTAATATGATTCTATTGGGATTTTAGTTTAATTACTCCACTCGAACTGAATTTGAATCCAATTTTTATATGAAAAATGGCACTCTTTTGATGGCACCTTTTGTAATTCTTTGTAAATGGGGAGGAATGGATTTAACGGGATTTCAAGAAAGTTCTCTTTGTGTTCTTGATTGAATCATATTTTTGGAATTTAGAATTTCATATTTCCCAGGCCTTGTTATCCCATGCTCTGTTTTCTTGCAAAATTTCTATTACAAATACATAATGCTTTAATGAATGTATGATAAAAAAAACAAATGTGTGGAATGTGTAGAAACATCATTACCGAGCACATTGATTGGGACACATAAACTAAAATGGCTTTTGAACGAGACCTACAATATTCAGAATCCATGTTAATCGTTTTTCTACGTGGATTTTAGGTCAATATATTGCTTCATTGTAGAAATGGCAATAAAATATGTGTTAATCGTTTTATCACTTTTTTTAGTGTCACTCTCCTTTTTTTTTTTTTTTATAGAATTGAGATCTAATAGTATTTAAAAAATGTTGGTTTAAAGAAAAAGTTACGATATATTCTCCACATGCACTTAATGTAAAATTTAGTCACCTTATGGAATTGATTTCAATATTTTAATTGGTGTTTTGTCAATTTTTTTGAACATCACTTTTTTTAACTTTTATCTTTTTTTGAGTGTGTTATTTTTTTTTTTTGAATTTGTGTCACTTTTTCTGAATTTGTCATTTTTTTGAATTTTTGTCACTTTTTTAACATTTGCCACTTTTTCGAATTGTTGTCACTTTTTCTAGTATTTGTCATTTTCTTGAAATTTTTATCATTTTTTTGGGGGGATAAACATCAGTTTTTAACGAAACTAACATTAATTTTATTTCTTTTTAAAATGATGAGCAGTAACTTTAGAAAGTAACACAATTGAAAAGTGACAACGTGACACTTAATTTTACACCGCATTTTTTTACGGACTATGCTATTCATACACGGGGCTTTACACCCCCATTTACCCGACCCCACCTGCCCCCTCACAGTAGGGGTTCCAATTATTTTATTCATCGTGGCGTTCCCTGATGTGATGAGAGTATAAATGGGGGTGTAAGTACGAATGCTTTTACCCTTTTTTTTACTATCAAATTACTTTTCCTGTGATTTTTCAAAACGGAGTTAAAACGTTGGCCAGCCTTCACTCCTGTTCTCACTTCTTCCAAACCGGCAATTGCAAACCTCATTCAGCTCCCAAATCTGAAACTGTGGGTGAGCAGTGAGCTCTCTAGCTAAGTACGTGAACCGCTGGTGCATCGTCGCCCTCCGCCAGACGGCCATTGTATCCGCCCCACCCCATTCTGTCGACGACTGAGTCTGTGGATTTTGGGTGAGTCCTAATCTTATCCAATCTTTTTATTTTTTAGTTTGATTGGCGATTTACATATATAGGAATTGGCGATTTACAATTTTTACAGATGTGTGATTTATTTATATTAAATTGGTGATTTAAAGATTTGTGATTTATATATATTTGGTTGAATTGGCGATTTACAATTTTATAGGATTATGATTTATTTATATTGAATTTTTGATTTAAAGATTTGTGATTTATATATGTTGAATTGATGATTTACAAATTTGTGATTTACATATATAGGTTTGTTAATAGATTATGAGCGATTTTTTCAACCTAAATGAAAGTCTCGACCTAGTTCTTATAATATCGGATTGTATTGGATTATATTTTTATATTTATATGATTTTACGTTTTAGTGCATTTATAGTTGAAAATTTTTTAATATTATTTAGTTAAATATTAATAAACAATCTCGTTATTCCGACCGTTGACAGTCAATAGTCCACGATCAACGACAATCCTAATTCACTTGAATTCCTATATTCACCATTGCAGCTTTAACATATGGTACCAATGGAAGAAAATTGTTGAAGAGTTCCTTGTATCCTTGTTCGATGTATCCTTCATTGTTTAAAACAATTTAGTTAAATATTAATAAACGATCAATGTTGTCTAGAAAAATTGATTGAAAATAAAAGTGCAAATGAAATCAAAGATTGGAAACGTTTGGCGTAATTTACCCTTGAAAATAACTTGAGGGCATAGCCAAAAACGCGCACAAGATTTTAGAACTAAAAAAGTTTTTATACAAGATAATCAAGGGACACATCACCATATTTAACCGGACATTATCCTGTTGGGTTGGATTGAAGAGCGTCTTAAAGTGAACTGTTAACCTGCCTCGTTCCAGGTAGTGAAACTTTCTACTCCAAAACCCAACTGTTACAGGACAAATTAATGGACATTTTTTTAAATGTTTCATTAAATCAATGAGTTTCATTGCATTTGATATTCGAATTAATGTTCCCATTTGTGTCTGCACGCAGAATTTCCAAGTTCATGGCATTCCCTGATATATGTTCGATGAAATGTCTCTAAGACTAAAGTGTAGGTACTTGATCTAAAGCAAAGTGTTGACATGAGTATTGGCAACTTCCAAGCAACTTCACCGTGGAATAAATTTCTCAAGTCTTGCGGAATTCAAGCTGCACCTTCTCTGATATTCAGTACGGCATTCTTTTCCTTCGTTTCGGTTTTCGTTCTTGCATTGAATGTTGAGTTCACTTAATAGCTAGCGTTTTTTTTATTTGGTTTCATTTGCTTCAGGGCCTCAAAGGCTATCGATAAGGTGTGGGGTCCAGTTTCGACCTTGCATTGACATTCACAAGGTTCATTCCGATGTCTTGTACTTTTCTAGTTTTTCTTTTGTGGAGTTACCGAGATGTCTGTGTGTAAGTGGGTATAACTAAGATATAAAAGTTGTTAATTTGTCTATCTATTTTGCAAGATCGGCACTTCGTATGCAACTTGATCGAAAAGGCCAATATATTGTTTTTCGTGTTGTCAAAGATTTGAACAAGGCAAGTGCTTGCTCAAACCCATCAGTATGTAGGAAGGAGATATTAGAAGTACTTTAACAGTTTAACTATATCATACAATAAGTCGACTAAGCATGTTTGGGAAGTATTTATAAATGATTTAAATTAAAAGTATTTCATTCTAGCTCACCATTTAAAGCATGTTTGTGAAGTCGGTTTAAATTATAAATATGTTGAAATGAGTGATGGATAAGTCGGTAGTGCTTGTGATAAAATGTGTGGATAAAAAGTGACTTTACCAATTATAAATAGTTTATAAACAGCGGCCATACATGCACGTTACCAACTGGGATTTGTTTAAAATCATCAACCAAATAAGTTTGCTTGAAATAGATTAAGTAATTTCATTGAGATTCAAGTTTCTCGCTGTGCTTGATATGCTACAATTACACAATTGATTCCATGCTTCCTAATGGAGGAAGAAATTCTCTATTATTTTTACCAGTTAAATGATTGGTTAGTAATGGTGTATTATATTAAAGACAAACAGTGAAAACTTTGACCATAACATAAAGAAGTTCTAGTTATGGATGGATACAGTGAAATCTTTCTAACATACTGCAGGGGAAGGTGAAGCAAATTGTTGGCTCCACTCTTAAAGATTCCAAAGGGGGAGATTCAAGCCTAGTCACTAATTATGAATCTGATAGATCGGCTGCTGAATATGCAAAACTTTACAAGTCTGATAGGCTTACTGGTGGTCATGTAATCATGCTTGGAGCTGATCCTTTGAGCAAATCAGCAGCCATTGAAGCATTACATGCCTATCCTGGTAAGTCTGGATGGGAGGTCATATCTTCCAATGCATGCTATTTTGTAATGCGTTGGCATGTTTATTATTTCAAAATGCTTTACACATTCAATCCCTCTACAGAAGGCAAAAGGAAACATGGTTTAAAAATCATTTTATTTTTATTTTTGTTAATAATCTTAAGGTGCAATTGAGCCACGAGATATATTCCGCAGGGCAAACTCTGTATAATGTTTAAACATTTAGCCCTTGTTTGATACTCGTTCTTAGAAAAAATTATTTTTTCAACTCATTTTCAGGTCCTATTTGAGCCACATTAAAATTTTCATTCTCATTCTTCTACTTATTTTCAACCACACATTATTTAATAAAATAATATTTTCCATCACATCAATAACTTTTCCTTCTTTTTCAACCACACATTCTCCATCAATCTACTATTCCAAAATACATTCTTCTAAAATAACTTGGCTCAAACACACCCTCAACCACACATTCTTTAATAAAATAATATTACACGCAAATCCAAAACTTTTCCTTATTTTTTAACCACATATATTCCATCACATTACATCATAAAATGCATCGTCTTCTCCATAATGTGCATCAAACACCCTCTTATTACAAGTATGTTAGACTTGCATAGCACAAGATTTTAGAATTAATGTCTTCATGCGACCTTTGCTGTATTTTCAAAGATTTCCCAAATAGCGTATGTATTTTTAATCCTTCTTATATGCATATGTTACAAACATTTTGATTTCTGGCAATATTGACATTACTGGGTCTTCTTCTGATCTTCATGATATTTTCATTAATAAAGTGGATTTTCTGTTTTTGAGTTCTATCCAACTAATTATAATAGGACTTTTTTGGGGAAAAAAAGAAAACAATTTGCACAGAACTTGTTTAGGTAATCCTTTTTAATCAAGGTCTGAACTGCATCTGTCTTTTTGTTTGTGGAACATTTTACATTCTCATTGCTGAAGAGCTACTTTCAGTTAGGATTTTGACGTCTTTCAATTTGTCTCAATATCATCGCAATTAGATTTCACTAACTTTGCTATATTGGTTATAGGAATTGTTTCTTATCAACTTCTGTATTTCTTCAGATCAATTCTTGCTGGCAAATATATTGTAACCAATAGGCACCCTTAGTACTCCGAAATGCACATTTTGCTGAAACATTTTTTGCGATGATTTTTCTTTAATGGATGAATGCTACCCGATTCCTTGAACAAAGCTAACTGCTCACTTTTATATCCTAGCCGAAGAGCTCCACTCTGAGGCACTACTTAAAAATGCTCTTGTAATCATTTTTCTTCAAGGGCTCAATGGCATCGGACACCGTAAACAGAATTCACTTCTCATTTATATCCTCAACAAATTGCTCTACGCCGAGGTTCTAAATTCAAAGCTTTTTCAGCTGAGGTTGAACTGGAATAACTGATGTCCATGTTATACTTCAGGAACAGAATTGATCTGTACTCTTTCATGATAAATAAATTAAAGTTGAGTTCAAAATACTTTGTTTCAAAAATATTTAATTGCACCTAGAGTTTATAGAATTTCGATGATCCCTGCTTTTTTTTTTATGAGTTATTAAAATAGCTGATATTGTGAAGGATTTGAGTTTATTTATTATCTATATTGTACCTTTACTGAACTTATTGCCATGATGTAAACACCTAGGTGGATTGCAAGTTGGAGGTGGTATCAATTCAATCAATGCTTTGAGTTATGTAGACGAAGGAGCAAGCCATGTCATTGTGACATCAGTATGTTCTTATTGAACCCCTTTTCCTCAAACAAATAATAGTTGTTAGCCATTTCACCATCCTTCGTATTTTCAACAGTATTATGATTTCTTATGTTTCTCCCCCTCCCAAATGTCTCTACGCATATAACTAGCACATATGAATTGCTGGATTGATTGGGGTCAGCTAAGTGACCATTGTGAGGACTTTAAATCCTATGAACTTGTAGCATAAAGCTAATTGATGGATGGTTGTTAATCATATGTTGAACACATTTACTGTGTCAGATTACTCTCTTTTCATCATTATTGAGCCTTGGATGTCAGGTTGGAAGAGGTACATTTTTTTGCTTGCATCACTGTGATGGATAACTCTATTAACCCATCTTTATGCCTTGACTAAAATACGAGAGTTTGATGCTTGTGGTACCAAGTTAAACAAGTCAAAGCTATTTGAAGTTGGAGAATGATCTTTAGGAAGTACATAGGTGAAAAAGGAAGATATGATCACGTTTTTGACATACAAGTAAAAAAAAAAAAAAAAAAAAAAACATTCTCATGTGAAACCATGGGAAGCCAAAAAATTGGTAGACTTTCAACTCAATACTTCTTGATTGCTTTGCAGTATGTGTTCAGTAATGGAGAAATAAACTTCGAACGGCTTAAGGAACTTGCTCATCTTGTTGGAAAGCAGAGACTCGTACTGGATCTTAGTTGCAGAAAGAAGGTATTCTTTCTTCTTGTGAATATAATAATTATGATCGATACAAAGCTTTCTGAACTATCTTCTTCCTCCCTCTCTCCCCCTCCCTCTCTCTTCTTCTTCTTCTTCTTCTTCTTTTTATGTTGATGCATATTTTCTTAACATGTTTGTAGGTAGGTTGGCTGCAGCATCAATAACTGCCTCATTTTAGCAAATCTAAAATAATTTTATTCAAATTAACCCATATGGATATTTATCATTCAGACCAACTTTGCCTGTAATTCTAAAACAAAAGTGATTGATGAGGTATATCTGTAAAACAATGTCAGCACTCAGAATTATATCAAATAATAGGGCAACCATTGTAGGTACAGGGAAAATGTTGCAGGCAATCCCCATGTTAGTATAGTTGATGTATCTCATTCAATCTACTATGGCATTTGTGACTTGAGATGATGTTTGCAGGAAGATAAGTATGCAATCGTCACAGATAGATGGCAAAAGTTCAGCGATGTATATCTCAATGAAAAAGTATTGGCTCTTCTTGCCAATTTTGCTGATGAGTTTCTTGTCCATGGAGTTGATGTTGAAGGGAAAAAGTATGTCTTCAACTACTTAATATAAAAGGAAAAATAGCAAATATCTTAACTAATCTGGTTCTTCATATCCCTATGTACAATTGCAACATCATTCTGTAACTGTTTTGTTCACTGATGCTTTCACCGTTCCAGTATTTAGAAGCCAATTATGTCCACTCTGACATTGAATACCAATTAATAACTTCAATATTGCAGGCTGGGAATTGATGAAGAGCTTGTGGCGTTGCTTGGCAGGCACTCACCGGTGTGTGATATATATTTATAATCTATTATCAATCATGTATCTTTTGTACTCAGATATCGTGTTCATGCCAAATACACTTTTGAAGACATAAATTTCCTCCCATTTTGTTGCAGTCCCCCACCCCCCCCCTCCCCACATTTAGCCTGTAGGGACTAGAATTATTCATAATATTTGAAGTAGTTGGTCTTTGGAGAATTCAATAGTTATTATGTAATGTTCAAATTCTTGAGTTGGATTCAAATTTATTATGGCTTTTTGCCAAATGAAAATTACCACAACGGACTAAAGAAAAATTAGCCATTAAGTGAGACCTTAACTAGCCATGGACCAATGCCTTGAATAACAGATATGCATTCGTTCACAACGCAAGTCAGCGAGTCTGGTTTTATGCATCAGTTCACTGCCATATATTATAGCCAACTAATTTTTGACTCTTCAAATGCGATTTATGTAACATATTTCTATGTTGCAACAGCAGTGCAATTGTTTAATTTTCCATGTTTGCTAGATTCCGGTGACCTACGCAGGCGGTGTCACTGTCATGGCTGATTTAGAGAAGATCAAAGTTGCAGGAATGGAACGCGTCGATGTCACTGTGGGTAGTGCTTTGGATATTTTTGGAGGAAACTTGGCATACAAAGATGTTGTGGATTGGCATTCTCAGCAAGAGGCTTTTGCAGTTTGATTTTTAGGTTGCTGTGTGTAAATGCTAACACGTAGATGTATAATTATATTTGAAGAAACATTAATTTTGCCTTGGGAATTTTGATGTTAAACTATGCTACCTGTTCTGACTTGAAACATACTGCTGATTCTTAGACTGTGAAAGTGGATCCCATCTTTTGAAATATTATTAAGACGGTGAATTCGATCCATATCAATTATACTTTATTCTAGTGTCAATCAGGTGATTGTACTTTAATTTTGTTCAATTGAGTATCTATACTTAATTTGATTCTATCGATTAGTTCCATCAAATTTCGTCACTTTAATGGATGAGAATTCATGAGGGGATGATCACCATTCATTTTATTGAAGTTATATTTATTTTATATTAGCAATTAATGATCACGTGTGGGATTGTCATTTATCAAGTCATCTTAGGAGAGTGGATTGCACAAAATTAAAATATAATAAAAGTATAATTATTCGATTAAACAAAAATAAAGTATAAATATCTAATCGATATTATGGTTAGTATAATTACCGCAAATAGTTCCAGAGTACGACAATTTGCAGAATTGCATTTTTTTTCAAATTTTCTCCATAATTCCCATATCAAATAGAGTTCGAAGGGATTTTCTATGTATAAAATGATGCGTTTACGGGTGAAGGTGGCGTTCTATTGCATCTATGGCGACCCTCAAGAGTTAGACTGCAGGGATGCTCGTACGGACGAATTCTTTCGTTTCTATCCGAGCTTTGTAAAATCACGTCGTAATGGATTACTCAAACTCGACCAATTTCAGAGAGGGAGTGTACATCAGATTTCAGAAATGTTGGTAGGTGTTTACTGTTCGCACTTGTTTGTTTTTCTGTTATAGTTAATCCATAAAATTCTATGGATCATTGGTTAAATTGTCATCTATTTCAAGTGCTCAATTGGATGCCCATGACTATTGCATACCTTGTGATATAGAACTTAAATGTAGCTCCACTAATCCAGTCAAAGTTTAAGCATTAAAACACCGAGATTATCTTCTTTGCTTGTGAATGCGCGCGCGTATGTTTTGAGTTTATGGTTGTTTTAGATGGGAAGAAGCTTTTAATCAGTTCACTAAATTGTCTTCGAGTATCGAAAAACAATTGATAACATATTAGTTTGTCTTACTTGAAGTTCATTGATATTTTGAAGTTTACATAGAAATGAAAGGAATAAAGGAACGAAGTAACAAAGGAAATCCAAGAGATGAGTTAATTTTGTCCAATCATGTTAATTGATTTCTAATTTCATTGTCGGGGTCTCCTGTTATAACCAGAAATAAAATCTAACCAATACAGCAAAATGTCAGTGAGGAGTCATATCGTGACAAAAGTTAACTACTACTCGCTATCAACCTGTTGCAGCCCTTGTCTCATGTCTGACTATGTAAAAACGTACGAGTTTAACACACTCTAAGAATTTAGAATTGTAGCCATATATTTGAAGTCATATATTATTGAACTGCGAAGAAATCTTGCCTAGTGTCCTTTAAACATCAACTTAATATTAGATTCGAAATTTACGCACGCACAACTCTTTATGTTATAATGCTCTAAATGCAAATGTGGTAGACCCTTAATTATCTCAATGATTTTATCTTCCCTAACCAAATGAGAGAATTCAGTTTCTGAAAACTTTCTTCCTTGATGCAAAATACTAACATCTCTGACAATATTTTCCTCTCAGCTCCAGCTGAAGCCATTTAAATCAAATTTCTTGCAACTTGAAGCAGCATCATTTTTGTCATCTATGTTTAGATCCAGTTCTGTTGTAAAGTATGGTAGTTTCAGATTCTCTGGTCTATGAGCATCTCGATCAAAATATTTAGCGTCTGCATCAACGTCTTTAAATCTGTCCTCTGAACAGCTGCTGCTACCATTCCGTGGTCCTCCCTGAGGTCCAATGGCCATCGATAAATTTCTGGAGTTCTCTTCTATAGCAAATGCTTTTTCCACGTTGTCATTTGTTGCGCAAAGAAATCTGGTGCTCTCTTTCTGGTCTTCACACAGTCTGAGTTCAGTCTTCTGCAGCCTGAGTCCATTGTCACGATTTCTTAGCTCTATAGCTTCTCTAAAACTTAAATTATTCAATCCTATTTGGTTATTGTACAATTCTTGGTCCCTGCCATCACAGGAGGTTAAGCAGCTGTCTGTTGAACAATCCGTTGGCTGAGTTGTTTTTATTTGCTGTAGGCACAAATCCGACAGTTCTTTCATCCCTGAAAATGCAGAATTCAGGCATTGGGTGGATACTTTAGACACCAAATCAGATAACTGAACCTTGGATGCCTCCAAACCAGTTGTCCCTAAATTCTGTGTTGCAAGGCTTTCCTCTGCTTTCTCCAGTACCGACTGTAAATATTTACCTTGGGTCTCGATCTGTAGCTGTAAATGGCGCTGTACCTACACATACAGAGTAACCCTGTTTTCAATGATGCATAAAAAGAATTTGCACTTTGCTTTGCTTCTAACTGTTTATATATTCAACATTTAATTGTTGAAAATATGAAGAAATTTGGACTGCTATTATTTATTTAGGAAAGTTTCATTTCAGTAAGAGATCAAACTTGTAGTAACGAATTTTACACGTGTGAAAATATTTGCCTCGTGAATTGAATTTGGTTACAATGCATGTTTTCATGTTAGATCTTTCAAAGATCTGATGACAACTTTTCTCTTTCAGATTTCAGAGGGTTTTGAAGAGTTCAATCTTTATTTTGTTTCATTAAATAAAAATATGTATACAGTGTTTTTTTACCTCCAGCTGCTCATATAGCCTTCTTTGCACTTCTATTTGCATTTGTATTGCTTCGCTCAAGTGTAAATTTCTGAATATAAGATATTACAATCAAACAGTGTTAATTGATTATTTATTTAATCAATATTGTAAATCAACATAGGAAGAATGTGTAATATAATTTTTAATTCTTACTTATTTGTCTGGGGGACCATGCTTGGATTACTCATGTGAGTTCCATTTGTCTCCGATATTCTTTCTCCTGTGGCTGTAAACATTTTCGAACCTAATAAGCATATTTACTCATGAACCAGTATAGTTTGTTAAACTGTGTTCCTGGAAATTACTGGATTTCTTACCTGCTTTGTTGCTCCCACTGTTAGCTTGTCCATGGACGTTCTTGCTGAGCCTGTATTTCTGCCAGCAAAAATGAAAAGGTTTGGACTACATTTTATCTCCAGATACAAAGTGATGCACATATGCACTGACCAATGCTCTCAGTTTCTTTAATAATGCAATGACAATAAACAAAGCCTTATTCCCAATAAATTTGAGGTGGCTTCGTAAATCCTTTAGCTGCACTCTATTTGATTCATTTCTATGAGTGACCGTGAAGCAACTAGATTCATAAAAACTCCAACATGTCATGTTAGTTTTGGTCCACTCCTAACTTTCTCAACTGAGATCAAATCACTCTTATTAACGGGAGTCAAGACATGTCCTAACCACCCAAATCACCCTTCCCTTGTTTTATCCTAATCAGATGCTACCTTTACTTATTGCCACATATTTTCATTTTTAATCTTATCGAGTCTTGTATGGCCCCACAGTATCTTAGCATTTGCATTTCTGCCGCATTCATCTCATGGACATCTTGTCCTTTGACACCTGATAATCGGTGCTAAACAAGATGTGACAGTTTCATGTTGGTTGTTAATCTACAACAACCGTTTCCCTTTATTTGTGCTTGGGACCTTCTATGAAAAACCCTTGAAAATGCTAATAAAATATCTAGAAAATGCTATGTAAACTGTGAATAAATTTTTTGATTAGTTTATTACTGCATTTCTTAGATGGCACTGTTTCAGCATTCTCAATGGTTTTCCTGGAGGGGAAAGTAGGGATAAACAATGTCATCAAAGAACTTGACTGCTTCTTTGAAATGGCTATATCAAAACCTTAAGTTGCCCGAGACCATGAGTTGCTTAAGCTTAAATATGGTCAAACTGAAAGTCCTATTATCTCTTGTGCAGAACTCTAGTATGGCTTTTTGGCATTAACAATTTACCTGAAGGTGACTCTTTAAGTGGTACAAGGTTAAACCTTGAATCCCCATAAGTTTCAGCACTGATTTTGGGGTAGCTTCTGCAACAAAGGAATTGTATAGTTAGCTAAATACAGTAGTAGATTACTATATTGGTGCTTCATGAACATGATATGAGGCATGCACTTACTGTCTGCTCCACCTAGTTGATTAACTGCTTCTATGAAACGCCTATGGAGATCCGGAGTCCATTTTAGTCTTGGCTTAGCATCAGTGGAAAGCACAAGTCCTGAATCTCCGGTTCCATTAGCACCTTGAAGGAATAAGTGCCTTTCAGAAAGAATGGACATTCTTGACGTAGGGTGCATGCTCTTTCCTTGGTGGTGGTGGTGATGATACATCTAATTGTCTTCAACAAGATGATTTGAAATAAGTGAGATTCGTGTTATGGGTAAAAAGAAACGATTGACATAGAGCTATCCTGAAGAGATCTAATGTGCCTGTTCCAATTTGCAATCACCCTTGAATGTGAAATACAATTTTGATATATTCCGTGTAGTGCACTCTTGCGTTCCTGATACTTGGTGAAAGAAAACTGTCTACTACTGCTTTTATCTACTTCTTGTGTTCTTTGCCAATCTTTATGTACTGGAGCTGTGCTCAGGGATGTTTTATAAGCAAATAAGGAGAGAGAGAGGTGGGGTACATTGGAAGCATAGAATCTTGAACAGGGCCATCAGTACATCAGATCCAATTAAATTATCAGGTGAAACGAATGGAGATCTTGTCCTTCCAGTTTCACACATGTGGGGTCCTCTTATGCAACTTCCCTTTCCATTCTTAGACAGCAGCACTAGCCATTAAAATTCCTCCGGACTATTGACTTCTTGAAAAAAACTTGATACCTTAGGTTTGATACAAGAATAGATCCACTTTAGACTTTATTTCTCCTGTGCATTCATATCCACCACCAGGAAAAGTTTACGAACCTTATTCCCTGAATTAATGGTGGAATTTTATTCTGACTTGGATTGGAGGAATCCACTATCTATAATGTCCTAAAATCTTGAAAGCCATTTTCCCCCAATGAAGATCCTGTTGACTGGAGCATCTATAAACCATGCATTCATGGCAAAAAGGTGGGAATTGGTGAACATTCATTTCTCCGTGGGAGAGTTAGAATGCCAGGTTTAGTTAATATGTGCAGTTCCTTTTTCTTTTTTCCAATTTTCATTTGGTTTATTTACAGCCTTGGTGTGTAATGAATCTAATGATCAAGTAAGGTGCAATGCTTTCATTTCCTTGCACTTGATCTCTTGCTTGGCTTGTAACAAGAAGGTATGCCAGCTATTTGGAGTGCATAGACTTGCTCCCAATTTTTCCACACTATCTTTTTTCTTTTATTTTTTTTTCTTTTCATATGTATACACAAACAAAAGGGGACTGGTCCTTTTTGATGCAGGGTGAAGATTCTAGTGATAGAATTTATTCCTGGAAAGAGGACACCTGCAGTGGTTTTTCTTTATGCAGTATCTCAGCTTCACATGCGGTGCATTGCACATACCTATTTTATCTTCGAGGCATTATAAGTAAACTTTTGCATATTTTTGGGCAAAATCTTATTGTTTACATATTAATGTATCTTGTTAGAAAACAAAAAATGAGCATTGTTAAATACGTAACATGTCGAATGACCCATAAAAAGTGGAAGAATTGTTACTCCTTAGCTTTGTATAAAGTCCTGGAGTGGCATAATGAATATATTCCTTTTTGTTTCCTTCAAAAAAGTTTAGTACTTATTCTGCGAAATATTAAAGAGGAGAGAAGTCCCAATCAGGTCTTTTAAATTCATCAAATGGCATAAAGAAGTTGGTTCCCAATTCCTTGGGACCCTTCAGAGAGAAGCTAAATGATCGTACTTGCTCTGTGCTTTCGTATGATAAACACATGTGAAGTCAGGACCAGATGGCCACTTTCTTTCTCCTTGACTTGAGCTTAAATGGCTTCGGAGATACTTGGACATGAATCTACTAATTTTTCTCACTCTGCATGATTATGTTTTCAAATCTTTGGGGTTAATGGATTTTATCAACTTGGATGTATTATGACATACATTGAGTTGCTTCTTAAATCATTGTCATTATGAATAAGGATTAAAGGATTTTATTTACATGGATGTATGTATGACATACGTTTGATTGCTTCAATTATTGTCGTCACTGATAGGATGTGACCAGCATTTGCATTACGTTGCATAAAAACAATTCTTTTACTTGCATGTTTATATTTACCTATTGTTAGAAACTCGTGAAATTTGTTCATCATGCACATAGCATACTCCTACATGGAATTCATCATGTTATCTTTCACTCCATAGCCATGATCAATGTACCAAATCTATAACCATGTTGCACTATGTATCTTATTTCATATCTTAAATTAAGAATTATTCTTCAATGCACGTATATAGTAAAATACTCAACATGACCAACCACTGAAGGAGAATAAATTCACCTCAACCAATATTCAGGTTTTTTTCCTACTCATTACTAATACTACTTTAACCCTGGTGAATGAAAGGGAAAACTATTGACTCAATGTATAACAATTTTATATAAGATGACTAAGAAAAAATAAGATTTGTCATTTCTGTTCTACATTATCTGTGATCTGATGAAAGAAAATTCTTCTCTTCCCTTGAACAATGTCTGTGCATTAGTCCCATCAAGTTTTTGAGGAAAGAGTATTTGATTCTGATTTGTTATCAATATTTTAAGCAGTTTGGAGGAATCTCTGAACCTTTATGTAAAGTGTTAAAAAGCAGAATTCTTCAATAGTTCGGTAGCAAATGGATAGGATTGTATTGCAGATGGGAAATGTTATGATGCTTCTAAAGCTGCATCATCAAATGGTCATGATGAGAATAGCTAGTACATACATTATATCATCTGTAAGCTATGATGCACCAACACGATACGTGTCGGATACGCTGACACGCGATTTTTAAAAAAAGTACAGACACGACACATCATTGATACGTTGATTCTTCATTCTTAAATATTCTTCATTTATATAGTATAAATTTAGTTTTATACTTGTTATTAATTTTTGTTGTTGAAATCTTTTAAACATGAGTACCTATTTGTTACTTGCTAATAATTTTGAATTAACAATATATAATATTTTTAATACAAAAAGAAAAATGATTCTGGTTGAGTGTTCGAGAAGTGTCAAATCTTTTAAAAATGAGTATATATTTGTTACTTGCTAATAACTTTAATTAACAATATATAATATTTCTAATATATAAAAAAAAAATGATTACGGTAGAGTGTCCGAAAAATGTCGGTATCGACTCGTGTCTGATGGACACGCTACGTAATTGAAGTATCTGTGCTACAGAATCTGTAAGTATATTAAGGATCCGGTATGACTTTTTGAGTTTCTTTTGGTGCTATCGATTTGCACAAACAAATATAAATTGTATACTAGGACACAGATACATATATAAAGCCTTGGGCATATATCACTAAAACTCTCGTTTTGGTTTCTCTGTTGGAACTTTTCCAAACTAAATGAGTTTAGTTCAACAGAAAATACATTATATATTTGTCTAATATTAAAATAGTGAATTGAGAGATCAATAAGACAAGTATAAAATTAATTAGTTATCCAACGTTGGAAAATGGAGAGTTGGAAAACAAAGTAATTGTACTTCATAGACATTTGTCTTACTAAGGTATGAAAATCACTTGCAGCTTGCTCACATATGTAAGGATAATGGAAAGCACTGTTCGAGCTTATTTGCCTGTGTGCAACCTGGTCTATATGGTGCCAGTGAGGCATTGATGGTGTATAAGCACTCGCAAGCTTGTATCCTTCAAAAATCTGGCCTGTAAATTTTATTTTCATTATACTAGAGATTCAGCGGTCCAGCCCTAATCTGATTAATCTTGTGATACTTTAAGATCAGATAGCTGAAAGTGAGTGTTCCTTAAGTCAAATATCAAATTATAACTTATTACAGTTAAAAAAAAAATTTAGAATTGCAGCGTTGTACAACCATACCTAGAATGAATATTTTTCAACTTCTATTTCAAGTCTCTTTGCAGGACCCAATGTTCTTTCTAGTAATTGTACATTTACAAGTCCTTTATTTTTCTTTCCTTGATGTTGTCATAAAGCCGTAAGTTCTGTTCATTGTATGATTATATGGAATGGCTATTCGCTTTCATCACTGCATTCAAAAGCTGCATTGTATATACATGTAATGTATGTACAATATTCTCCACTTTAGAAGAGAGAACATGGTCTGTTTTTCTTTCTTGTACTTAAAAAGTATTGTTCATTATTTTACGCTCTCGTCTTTGATAGGAAAATTTGCTATTGAAGAATCTGATGGCATTTGAGAATAAATTTGTGTGCAACTCAATCATTAACTAGAACTGGTGTAAAATGCTGATTGGTTGCGCCTTGTTGACCCCCTCATTGTATCGGCAGAAAAACTAAAAAGATTATAATGGCAGTGGAATGGTATTTGAAATTGAAAAAGATGTATGTGTGTTGAGAAAAAGTGGGATTCTGAAGAATGGAATATTAGAATCTTACTCAAAGTAAAGGCTACTGGAAGTATTCTCAAGGCAAGAATTTTGTTATTCTTGTTATTCAAGGCCGCATGAAATGGATTCCAACTTTTCCTTGCATTCTTTATTCTCAAGCTTATTACAGTTTAGGATGCCTTTCATCATGCATAATCAATTATTTCTCTTCTTAATATTCAAGGCCGCATGAAATGGATTCCTACTTTTCCTTGCATTCTTTATTCTCAAGCATATTACAGTTTAGGATGCCTTTCATCATGCATAATCAATTATTTCTCTTCTTAATTAAGCACTACCATGTTTGCCTATTTTTTGTCCAGTCTTTTCCTTGTTCTCAACAGTGATATTTTTTATGCTAGAAACTTTTGTGCAATTAGGTTGTTCAGCTTCTGGTGCAATGATTTCCAAAAATAGTAAGTATTCAATAGATTATCTATGTGATCGAACATTATACAAGTGCTTCAGATATTGTTCTTGCACTTACTAATTACTATATTCGGTTTCATGGTCAGGGCAACTCTGATGTTTGAAACACTACATCTTATATTCTTATGAACTTATGCCCTTACACTTAAGTTGCAAATAAGATTCGCGATCATTACAGATTGGCACGTTTGTTATGTTGAATTGAACATGATTAGAAAGAATGCAATTCGCATTGCATGTGCAAGTGAACTATCACGCAGACATAACATTTTACTTAAAAATAAATATATAGCAACTAGGATATTCAAAATGAGTAATGTTATTTATACATCATTGTGTACCTAATGATGACATGAAAGAGAAAGATGAGAGAGAGAGGGGAGTAATGCTACTTGTATATAATGGTGTACAATTTGATGTATAGGTTGATGATGTGGATAGTATTAACTGACTTCATTTAATTTCTTTCTTTTTTGTTTTTCTCTCTCTCTTCTATATCATCAATATGTAAACCAATTTGTACACAATTATGTACAAATAACATTACTCCGAAATGAAAAGAAATTAAGTTATTATAATTTCTCTCTCTTTCATGTCATATATCCGTATACAGTATACTATTATGTACACAATGATATACAAATATCATTACTCGTTTGAACTATTGCACATTATATTCTTATGCACTTATGTCCTTCCAATTCTATTATAAAGACACGTTTGATGTAGATTTTTTGAGAATCAATTTCATGAAAAGTGTTGTTTTGGAGAATGGGTGATTAAAAAGTAGGAAAACGTTATGAATTCACGTGTAGAATTATTTTATTGAGAGAATGCGTGATTGAAAATGAGTTAGATAGAAATGAGTTTTAAAGAATCTATATCAAACATGGACCAAATATGATGTGTGAAGCATGACGTGTTAAAAGAAAAGAAAATGGGGTATATAAAGTTTTAACATTTTAATCCAATTCTAGTTCTTCCATATTTCTTCCTGAAAAATGCTACACGAACATAGGGGATGATCGAATACACATACCTCGGGGGTCGGACATTATTTTATTCACGCGGGACCCACGCGCAATGTGAGGGTCGGTCACCCGGGGTGTCAACCATTTTCAGATAAAATAGCTTTACTCTTTCTTCTTTGGCTTTTAGGATAAATTCCTTTAGGGGTCACCCCACCTTTCATAGGTTTGGCATTTATGTCCTTAACTTTTTAGTATTATGCACTTGTTATCTTATTTGACTGAAAACATTAATTTAATGATCACTCGACACCCATATTTGATTGAAATCTTAAATTTTTTTTTTTAAAGAACACTATTTATTATTTGATTTTTGGAATAAAGGAAATCTTTTTAAGACAATTTTACCCTTTTAGTCGAACATCATGTGCATGCCTGAAAATTTAACGTCTATGCAGATATTTTTCATTAGGTAAGGATACTGGATGTATTATGTTAAAATATTTTTGGATAAGAATGGTGTGCTTCTAAAAGGATGAATTTCTTGATCGGGATGGCAAAATATAAAAAATTATTGATGTATTAACCATATATTATTTTTTCTATAGTTCTATTTTCCTTCCACTTGAATTCCTCTAGAAATTTTTTAGAATGGTAATATTCGACTTTTCTACCTGCAAAAAATGTGGTAAGAGTGAAAAATTACAAGACTGCCCCTAGTCGGCTCCATTTGTGTTTATTTCTTAACATCAATCCAGCTCTACCAAGGATATAATCCAATCTTGTGGGCTCAAATTGTATCATTCTCCATATTTAGTTTGGACCTAATGATCGACGTAAATTGACACAAATAGCATTATACGGTTAAAATATTGACAATAGTTTTTTAATAACGTGTCTCCACTTCGCTATTTTCATCTTTACAATGACGGGTGATAGACTTTATTAGAGTTCCACATTGGCTGATGATATTTACAAGATCCACTTAATAAGGTGAGGGCAATCCTCCCTTAACAAACCGATTTTGTTAGGTTGATTTAGGCCTATCCTTTCTAATAGACTTCTAAACTTGAAATGCAATGATGTATACAGAATGAGATCACTTTAAATTAACCATAATTTTTTGTGGATTCAATACTCAGTCATTGATCTCTTGTCGAGAAATCTTGCTCTGTAGTTGGAAAATATATATATTTTGTTTTTCCTAGATCAAATTTCTCGATTACGGGGTAAGGCTCCCAATCCATATCAAGAAAATAATAATATTATAAAAATAAATACATCGCTTATATTTTATACTTTATTCATCGATTGTCATGATAATATGTCTTCAAGTAGCACAATGAGACACAACAATGCAATGGCTCAATTATTTTCAATGAAATTTAATAATAATGGATCTCATGAAACGTATATCTAATAATAAGTAATTTATAAATATGCGGTTTAAATATTAAAAATAGTTAAAAGATTTTTTTATGCTTCGGGAATTTTTTTTTTAAGATTCCTATTACCTGTCTAATTTATAGCGCCAGTCACTACTCAAATAAGTGTCATTCGAAGATAATAAACCCAGACCACATCCCATCGCCCAAACTATCATCTCCGCCGTTTTCTTGCCAGAGCATTGAATTTTACTCCAACTCCAATTGTCAGGCACTTTCGACTCGTAAATTGTCCAACAAAAGAGTAATTTTTTCGTACAATCATCAACAAATTCTTCAGATCAATTGAATACACCCCCCTAAGTGTCATTCGAAGATAATAAACCCAGACCACATCCCATCGCCCAAACTATCATCTCCGCCGTTTTCTCGCCAGAGCATTGAATTTTACTCCAACTCCAATTGTCAGGCACTTTCGACTCGTAAATTGTCCAACAAAAGAGTAATTTTTTCGTACAATCATCAACAAATTCTTCAGAAACCCCTGCGGCTTCTACCTCTGTGAGCATCAAAGAGGAACCGAGTTCGGGTTTTTCGATATCACAACCTCCTAACTTCAAGCCTCCAAAGCCCAAGCCCTTTTCGGTCTGACCCGATAAGGTGTTTGACATTTTGGGGCCTCCTCTTGCGTTGGTTTTTCTTCTTACTACCAGCGTGCTTTTTTCTGGGTACGATTTTTGTTGAGAATTTACTTAATGCACAGCGAAAGATAAAATCAATTTCAATTCTCATGAAGTTATACATTTGTTGAACTCTGCAAATCCATTTCCTCATCTTGAACACCAACAATCACGGTCTGTAATTCACATCTGTTCAATTGTTCAGCATTTATGATGCAAGATACTAAAGGGATAAAAAATATTTACGAATCTAGATCACATCAGTAGTTTATAATAGTATCAAACACTTAATTAACTACGTTTCGGGTTGAGATGTCCGTTTTCTTGTACATATCAATATAGGATGAGTTAATATTGATTCAGGCACATAGATTTAATGAAATTCAGGTGGTGGTTGATCAAGAAATAGATGTATGTTGGATGCATTATGATGGTGGTTATAGCGATGTTTTGGTTTATATTCTCCCAAATTGGATAGTTAGACGGACCTTAGAAACAAGAGTGGAGTTAGGAATACTGTCCAGTGTGGGCCCAAATTTTATCAAAGTTGGACTTTGATTTTTCAACCATAGATTTAATAATGGTAAAATATAAAATAATATTACGACGATACTAAAAATGAAATAATTTATAAGTTACACTTGTTTCTTACGAGTTTTCATATTTTGATATGTCTACATCTTGATTTATTTGAATATTCTTGAAATTCATTGTCCTAATTCCAGAGAAAACAAAAAAGGTAGGAACGTAAAAGGGGTTTTAAGAAAGGAAAAAGTGAAACTTCTCTACTTTATGAAAACTTATTCATATTAAATGAATTTAAAGGAGCCTTTGTTAAAAAAAAATACAGTTTTCTTTTGTATTTTGTTGACATGTAGGTAATCTTAAGTTTCGATTACTATCATTTTGGTTGCAGCTAAGTTATAGTACTCACTGTTTATAGAATTAAAAAAATATTTTTTCTTCTATTTTCTCTCATTTTTACGTATAATTGTCAATTCGTCTAAAAACTTAAATTAGAAATAGAACACATGTGAATTTAGTGCTGACCATACTCCTTCACGAGCATCTCATATTTATCCTTTTATTAAATGTTACGGGTTTACGATTCTCATAAATCGATGACTATAAAACTTAACTAAAGTTCTCTATCCCAATCCAATACTATATAAAATTACTTTTATAACCTTAATAAATTGCAAACAAGCAACCATTTAGCTCTTGTTTAAATATCATTTTTTAGAAAGAATTTTGTAAAAAGTGATTTTTTAAGAGAACACATAGTTAAAATGTAGGATAATTTTAGGTTTTATTGGAAGAACATAAGATTAAAAATAAGTTTGAGAAAAATTACATTTTAAAGATGAAATACAAACATCGACTTATTTTTTTGAATCTAAAACTTCAACAAAGTAGCTAATTAATTATAGATTAAAATTTACATAAATTGCGGAATTATTATTTTAGACCTTACGAGCTTTATCCACAATATCTTTATCCACTTAAGTTGATCACTGTCAATCATAGAATAACATGAAAACCTCTTTAAAGAGGGAAAAAGAGAAGACAATAGAAATGAAGAAGAAGACGACGACATAAAGGAAAAACTTTGATAGAAGATATATACATGCAATTGAAGATGCAGATTCAAGCTATGACTTCTGCTTCTCAAGCTCAGCGTCTACATATATTATTGCATCTATGTTCATCAAATCTTACACTTCAAAATAATAATAATAATAATTAATAAATAAATATTGGGCCAAGGCCAAAAGTCCAGTGGACTACAGGTGGCTTCGCCCCTACTTAGAATGAGTTAGTGAGTTTGTAGTGCACTCTATGGGGAAAGTGTGGGTCCGAGTACATGAACTGAATCGGCAAAATACTTGATTGTTGGATCCTTGAGTTGAAAAATCTGGTCCCACTCTCTTAATTAGGTTAACAGATTAACGGACCAACAACTAACTATCAATGGGGGAACTGATTGTACCATCTTCGAGCACACTGCAAAAGAAAAATAATTCAATTATCATTCAAGAGTCAGTCAACTAAATTTTTGGATCCAACTTATGTTTGAAGTTTAATAAACCACTCATTCAACCGTCAAAATATGCTAATGAGTTAAGGCACAACAATACTAATTAAATAATGAGTCAACACGACTCACCAAGAAAAAAAAAATCAAAACGTGTCAAATGGTTTCTCTAAACAATAAAAATATCCAATATCAACTATTTTAAATTAAAGAAGAGGCTGCGTGTGATCTTGTGAGCTGGAGAGAAGGCAGTTGCACGTGAGCTGGACCATTGGAGAATATGTTGGCCTCTTCCGTTGATTGTTCATTCTGCCGAATACTTCCATTTATTTCAACAAAATATTCGACTTTTCTACCTGCAAAAAATGTGGTAAGAGTGAAAAATTACAAAAGACTGCCCCCTAGTCGGCTCCATTTGTGTTAGTTTCTTACTTCAATCCTTCTACCAAGGATATAATTCAATCTTGTGGGCTCAAATTGTATCATGAGGAAATTACACCTACACCTGGAATTAGATTTTCAATTTCACAAATCCAATCACAAGTTCAACATTTCAAAAATCAGGTTTTTATATTTAATTTAATATTAATTATATAATTATCATCCCAATTAAAATAACTCAAATCAACCCTAAAATTCATTCCCCCCCCCCTCTCCCTCTCTCCCATCTGTTGAATCTGCCCATGGCGTGGTGGTGAAGAGTCGTTGCCGCTGTAGAAGAACAGTCAGTCCTGCGCCACCGTCGCATCTGTCTTTCGATCCAACCATCGGCGTTTTCCGCCGGCCACTTCATAGAAGCCGTGAGCCACTTATGTTTTCAATCGATCCGCCGCCTATGCCTAATACAAATCTACACTGTTTTCTGAGATTGACCCTAATAACGAGCCACCTAAATCTGGACTCGTCGATGCGGAGGCTGCTCTGGCTAGATCTTCGTAAACGGTGCAGATCTTTATTTTATTTTTAGTTTTCGAGTTGGATTTATCGGATGGTTGTGGTGGTTGTATGATAATTTTTGTCGATGTTTGTAGATCTGTGGTGGTTTCTATCGAACGGGGTTGTTGGATTTGTGTGCGTGGGTGCAGTGCCGTGGTGTTTGTGGGGGATCGGGTGATGGTAGTGGTGGTGCCGTGGTGGTTATCTGTGACTTAGTATTTGGTTATCTGTGCCCTGCGAAGTGTGGATCTGAAGTTGGTGGCGGCGGTGGTTGTGTTCTGTGTGTGATTTGTGTGTTTACTTTGGCTATGCGTGTGGTGATGGGGGTCTTGGGGTGGTGATAGTGGTATTGGTTTTGAGATGTTGATGGTGTCGCTGGTGGAGGCGGTGGCGAAGTGGTGGTTACAAATGATGTTGGTGGTGGTTACAAATGATGTTGGTGGTGGTCACAAATAATTTGGTTGTTTGTGACCACTAGTTTGGTTTGTTGGCGACCAATAAACGATATGTGACAAAAAAAAAAATCAAAACGTGTCAAATGGTTTCTCTAAACAATAAACATATCCAATATAGAAAATCTGAAAAATCAACTATTTTCCAACTTAATAAGAATTGGCGAAGGAAAGTCGGGAATTTTGAATCTGGAATTTCGATACTAAGCAGAGGATCGTAACACTAGAAAGATGATCCCTACTTGAAAAGGTGGAGACTATATATCTTGTTGCGACGAATCGATTTATTTTCTAAGTTCCACATTTACAATCATTCTACTTATTTCTCTCTCAATCATTAATTTTCGAATCTCACAAGTGTGAAATATATTAAATAATTCAATCATTAGTATAGAAAAATTTCAAAGAAAATTTTTACAGACAACACATGACGAGAATTCATTAGAGGATGGGAAAAAAAGACAAATCAGATATTGCCTCAACGGCATCTGTAGAATTTCTATTAAAATTTCATGCGCCCGTGAGTTTTTCCTAATTTTTAAATACTGAAAGCAATAGTAATAAGAAAAAAAAAAGAATTTTTAAATACTGATAAAAAAAAGTGAAATTATTTTACACTACAAGAAAATAGATAAAATTACAATCCGACTCCAAAACACCTATAATTACACTATTCCATACTCAAAAAGTAAAATTAAAATTAAAATCAAAAGAAAATGAAAATGAAAAAAACTTGATTCCGTAGTATCCTCACCCGGAAGGACATACGAGGAAAACAGTTAATCAACGTGCCACGTCATCCAACAACTCCTCTTTCAACTACCACATATGACTTGTACGCGCCCTCTGTAATCAACTTCCACACGTAGGTCCCACGCGCCGATCTAAATTCAACGACTTCGAAATCGCCTGATTTAAATCCTCCGCAGTCCAAGACCCCGACCGCCGGCCCGAGGAGAACCGTTTAACTCCTCCCAAACAAGGAGGCTCAGCCACCGGTTCATCACTTACCGGGATCTCGCGTAGTTTTACAGTCACGCTCTTCCTTTGAGGTTCAACCGCCTTTACCGCCTCCTCCACCACCACTCTTCGACTCCCCGACCGGACCGGATTGCTATGAACCTTCATGCACAAAATGACGCTCATTAGATTCGAACAAAACTGGATTTTTTGTTTCTCTCCACTAGTCCTTGTTCTCTCCGCATTCTTTTTCAATGAATTGGACCTCCGCCTCCCACTCTTTGATCTAACTCTTCCCATGCAAGAAACCTTGGGAGAAGACGGCTCAGCCACCGAGACAGCCCTCTTCACTGCCGACTCGGACCGTTTCGGAAACAGTCTTATATTAGTCGGTTTACAATACCTTCTCTTGGAATCAACATAACTAGTTTTCTGGGTTTTGGGCAATCCAATAATCGATGCTTTGGATTTAACGTTAACCGGAACCCGCTGAGAATTAGAGTTCGAATTCGGGATGATACTCGGGTTCAAGTTAGTGGAATTGGAGTTGCCTCTGGTGGATTCTTTGCGCTCGTAAAATGCGTTTCGATCCAACCAATCATATTCCGCATCCTTCGAAAGCCAGAAAGATTCCGGCCGATAGTCTGGCGCCGGTGGCACGTGAACCGAGCCGGCAGAGTCTGGGATCTCTTCATTTTTTGGTAAATCTTCGTCTGCGAGTGTTTCACAGACACTTTTCCTGTCAAGATCAGCTTGAGGCATCATGGAAGACTTAGAGAGAGAGAGAGAGAGAGAGAGAGAGTACAAGGTGATGGGGGATTGGAAATTTTATGGAGGACCGCAGGAAAATAAATATCAAAAATTAGGGGTCGTTCTCTTAATGTTTCAGTTTTGAATTCATTTTGTATTTTGTATTTTAAGTGTCTGTTTTGAAATTACCCAAAATGCGTTCTTTTTACCATTCTAAAAACTGTTTTCGAAAACATAAAAATGGAAAACGCATCTCTTTTGAAATTTTGATAATTTTTTTTATCATATTTTATTCAAGAAATTTGATTATTCAATAAATTTTAATAGTTTAATGTTAATATAGTATTAAATAACATATATGAAGTTGGTGAATCTTAAATTTTTTTTTCCAACTATATGTATATAATTTCAAATTTTTGAGCAAGAAAATTAAGGTCAACTACATCAATTTTGTTGATACACCTTATGGATAGTTTGCCTCTAGCTCAACTCAACAAAATCAAAAAATGAAATCGAGGCATTGGAGTGAGTTTAGCAACCTTAAGCGACTCTCCCCATTACCATATATCGAATCATGCTGGACAAATTAAGCGACGTCTCCCCATTATTATTTTTTTCTTTCAAATAAGTGGTTTCTTGTTTTTGAACGTTGTACCCCCATTTATCTCTCTTTCGTTCCTCTACAATTTGATACTGGGTTGTCTCTCTCTCTCTATCTGTACTTTTTATTTTTTAATCTGATTATTGACTTTTCAGTTTGCTGTGAGTGAAAATGGGAAGTTGTTTAAGCAAGAAGAGCACTTCTTCTTCTTCTTCTCCTGGTCCAATTTTAAAGCCACAAGCACAGATGTCCAATACTCCATTGGAGAAAAAGAAGGCAGAAGAAGAAATTGTGATGAAAAATAATTTTGTTACGAAACACCGGAAGAGTCACGAAGTCGAAAGGCCGTCTGAAGAGGAGAAAACTGAAGTACGAAAGGCCACAGAAGTAGTCGAAATGGGGAAAAATTTGAGCCCGGGTAATGAAATAAATGGTGAATTAGGTAATGGGAAGGAAGAGAGGGGATGGATTGGAAGAAGAGGGAAAAATTGAAATTGAGGCAGTGGAGGAGTTGGAAAATGGCCATTTCCCGTGTTTTCCATTTTCCTCCTGATTTTGCTTGAAAACAGTCAAAACGTTGTTTTTATTGTTTTGTGTTTTGTGTACAAATTTTTTATCGTTTTCAAAAACGCGTTTTCAAAAATAGGAAAGAGAATGTGTTTTCATTGTTTTGGAAAATCGAAAACAGAAAACAACCCAAAACGGTCAAAGAGAACACCACCTTAGTGATTGAAAATTTTGGAGGGAGATTTAACTGCTTGACTGCTGATTTCATCTTGTACACACCGCACGTTTTTTTATTTATAGAAAAAGATACAAGAGAGAGCAAGGAATAATTATTTATTATGTTTAAGAGAATACAAAGGCAAAAAGCAGTCAAAAACTATGATCAGTTTTGTGAAATTGCATAATTTGACTCTTACATTCACCTGATTGTTTCCATAAAGATTTGATGATTTGTAAAAATAGAATATTTTCTCATTTTAATTCCTAATTGTAACATTTACAAATGAGCCTTTTTTCTCTAATTCCTTCGCTCGACTTTGTAAAATGTTTCCATTCTTCCTACTACCATATACCAGAGTAACGGATATTTTGAAAACTCAAAAACTTTTAAATAATTGGCTTAAGAAAGGTAACGAACATTATAACATAAAAGTATTGTATGGAATCGCTACTATACCGTCGTATTTTTAAAAATTCTTTCAAGAATTAAGTATTATTATTATTTGTTCTTGTCAATTATTGAATATGTGATGTGATTCTTGAACAGATTAATTATTTATTTATTCAATAATTTAAGAGTGATTGAGTACAGCTAATTATTTGTCTATATGACGCGGTTTTGGTATAACAAGAGGAATGGTAGAACTAGGTACATATGACAGTTCACCGACATTTCAATTGTAACACAAAATTTTTACGAAATTCAATACATGCCAATGTTTGATCCACGTTTAAATTTTCATTTTCATTCTTCTACTTATTTTCAATCACACATTTTTCAATAAAATAATATTTTCTATTATATCAATAATTTTTCTTTTTTTTTCAACCACATATTCTCCATTAATCTATTATTCCAAAATACATTCTTTCAAAATAATGTGGCTCATACACACCCTAATTTCGGCGTTGATAATTTTTACATTACTTCTGTTTTCAAAAATTCATATTCAATCAAATTTAGTTTTGTACTTCAGAAAAAAATTGTGTGTAATACAATTTTTACAAAAAATTCAATCAACAATTGAAATGTATCAAACCAGTAAACATGCACATGGTTGGAATGCGTTTATGTTGGTTAAATTTCAATAATAAAAATGGAGTTACAAAATGTATAGGAAGATAATGACATCGGACGGACTGAGGCATATATATATCTCGCTTTCTTTAAGGAGATTCAAACCATCTGCTATCAAAATATGAAGCTCGGATGATACGTAACCAAGAGGAACCAACTAATAAGAAGGCACCAGACAAAACATGATTTTGGAAGACAAAGTGGTCAATGCACATGAGGCAAATTAATACCAGTTTTCAGAATTCTGTTATAGAGTATCTTGTTGTTACAATTCGGTTTTATAGTTTTTCATTTTCCCGTCAATTCATTTGTGCTAAGTAGTGTTCTATATTGTTCTTCCTTATTGTATATATATCAGCGTAGCTCAATGTTTGTAATTAATTCAATTCTAATTCAAAAGGAATTCATCTGATTTCTGTATTATTTCTTTACAAGAAGAGCATTACATTCCTTCCATCTTCTTCATTTTCTTGTATGGTATCAGAGCCATAATCATGGAAGACAATCAAAGTATCAAAGCAGAAACAACAAATCCAAATGCAAATACTGACCAAAATACTAACGCCAATCCAGTACCAAACACCCATTTCAATGATCCCACTCACCCCAGCAATCCTTATTATATAGGGGTAATGACAATTCAGGAGCAATATTGGTCACTCATGTGCTTGATAATACCAACTACTATGCTTGGGCAAGATCCATAAAAAGGGCACTTCGAATCAAGATCAAACTTGGTTTCGTTGGTGGAAGCCTTTCTGAGCTAACCGATTCCAATGATCTGCTGATGGAACACTAGTTACGTTGTCATTGCTTGGTTGCAAAACACCATGTCTTTAGAGATCAAGTCTCGCACTCTGTATGCTGACACGACTCGTGAACTTTGGATAGATCTGGAGCACCAGTTAGGACAACAGAATGCTCCACGGATCTATGAAGTAAAACAATTCATTGCTACTCTAATATAGAATGAAGACATTGTAAGTGTATACTTTTCAAAGTATAAGACACTCCTAGATGAATTGATGAACTATGAGTCTATTCCCAACTGCACTGTGGAGGCTTCAAATCTGTCATTGAAAATCAGCAGAGAGACTGGGTAATGAAATTCTTAATGGGGCTAAATGATTCATATAAGACTATCAAGGCTCAAGTCCTACTAATCAAGCTTTTTCTTACTTTAAATGAGGTATACACTATAGTCTAGCAAGAGGAGAAAAGGAGGCAGATCTCAATGGACACCTCTATACCTGATTCTATGGTACTTGCAGCCAGAGGATATTCATATAATGCAGTAAGAGAAAATGTGATGGGACAAAGAAAATACTACTGCACCTTCTGTAAGATACCTGGACATTCATTGGAAAGGTGCACTAAAGCCAATCCCAACAAATCAACCTACAACCATTGTCACATGACTGGGCATTCTGTAGACAAGTGCTATAAGATCCATGGATATCCTTCAGGGCATAAAATGAATGGAAAGGGAAAGATCTATGCAAGTATTGTCTCATTGCAGGGACAAGAAGGTACTGATATTAACAATCAGATGACGTTCACTCAAGAGCAGCATGCACAAATTTTGGCCTTACTGCAGTCACAAAACATCAAATGCCTCACCAATTCAACTCTTGTAGACACAATACCCCAAACTCTCTGGTATTTCATCCTATTTATCTGCATATTGCGTCAGCACTAGTAAGAATTCTAACACACCATCGATAATAAATATAGGAGCAACATACCATATAGTGTGTTCCACTTCATTCTATAGCAGCTTCCCAGCCAAAGTTTCTTATTCGGTTTCACTTCCAAATGGTGACCTAGTTAATGTCACACACGTAAGAAATGTGAGAATCACGAAGAAGCTAATATTGAATAATGCAATCTATGTTCCTACTTTTGCATTCAATTTAATATCAGCTAGAAAATTGACACAAACCTCCAAGTGTTGTCTAATATTTTTTTCTGAAAATTATTTTGTGCAGGACCTTTCGACTTGGAAAACGACTGGAATGGGCAAAATGAGGCAAGGACTATACCATTTAACACGAACCCAAGTTTCACCCTCAGCCTTAACAGAAGTCCCTTACTCCAAACTAAATCTCCATGACATCGGCCATTTCTAGCAAAAATGAGGATTCTAAACTCTGGCATTATAGGCTGGGGCACCCATCATATTCTAGATTAGAACAATTAGATATCAACTACAATCCTAAGATTGCTAAGGAGCCTTGTTCTATGTGTCCTATGGCCAAGATGCATAAATTACCCTTTCTTATTAGTCATAATAAATCTAAGGAAATATTTGATCTCATAGACTGTGACTTGTGGTAACCTCGTGCTCAAACTAGCTATGATGGTTCTAAATATTTTCTCTCTATAATTGATGATTATAGTAGGTATACATGGGCTTATATGCTGAAAACTAAATCAAATGCTACTGCAGCCTTGCAAGGAGGGAGAATTCAAAATGAAGAAATACTATCACAAAAAGAGAATTATACACCAGAAAACTTGCGTCGAAACACCACAACAAAATGTTATAGTTGAAAGAAAGCACCAACACATCCTTAATGTTGCTAGAACCCTGAAAATCCAAAGTGCTATTCCCATTAAATACTGGAACGAATGTGTTCTCACTGCGGTGCATTTAATAAATAGAACGCCCTCACTTTTACTTGAGAACAAAACCCCTTTTGAAATTTTATTCAAACAAAAGCCAGATTATTCACACCTTAGGATTTTTGGTTGCTTTGCTTTTGCTTCAACATTAGCTAATCACAGAGCCAAATTTGAACGAAGAGCCAAGAAGTGTATATTTTCGGGATATCCTTTTGGGATAAAGGGATACAAGCTTCTTGATCCTGAATCCAAGAGAGTCATAATTTCAAGAAATGTAGTGTTTCATGAGGATAAATTCCCTTACAGGGACTGCAATACTTCTGAAAATAGTAACATGAAAGTAAACAATCCTTTCCGACTGATATTGAAACTAAACATTATATTCCTCCTCCTTCCACAAACTGATGAATGAATGACAGAAATTATAGATAATGAAGGCTATCCCTTAATTCATGAACCTGACAGTCATCCTACAAGCCAAGTCTTATCACCAGACCTTCAAGAACCTGAGGAAAATTCATCAGGCAATCATCCACCATCACGAAGTTCTCTAAAAACCAAGAAAACTCCTACCTAACTTGAGGATTACATATGTCAGCGGGCCTCATTTTGTCCATCACAGAAGTTGAACAAGGAAAAAGGTCTTTATGTTCCAGGTAAACCCTTTCCTCTCAATGCCAGCATATCAGATCACAGATTCTCAAATAACTATAAAGCATTTACAGAGTCTATAAGCACTTACATTGAACCGATACATATTAAGAAGCAATAACCTCGCCTGACTGGTGTAAGGCCATGAATGTTGAAATTGCTGCCCTTGAGGAAAATAACACCTGGATTGTAACATATCTTCCTCCTAACAAGAAGTCTATTGGGTGTAAATGGGTATACAAGGTGAAGTATAAGGCAGATGGTAGTATTGAAAGATACAAAGCTAGGCTTGTAGTGAAAGGTTATATACAGCAAGATGGATTAGACTACCATGAAACTTTCTCCCCTGTTGCGAAGATGGTAACAGTCAGGACATTGCTAGCTATTGCAGCTGTGAAGGGATGACACTTAC